TTGTATCTTCTGATTTGTCTGTGGGGATAACGTTCCTATCAATAATATCTTTCAGGACACTTTCCTGTTTTATGAACCGTCGAAAAGAAGTTCCTGTAAAACCATCTAATAGGAGGTACAGGTTTTTGTGTTTGTTGATTCTTCAGAGGTTGCATGGCGTCACCTTTCTTTTAATGACGAATGACATCGACATCATAATGACGTACAATGAAATACTGATCACAGCACCGTATAATTAAACCGTCCTAATTAACACACAACAGTACACTGACTATAATTAAACGTGTTCCCAGGTGTAATTCATAACACACTTCTACGACCCACTCACAGCAATTCCCTTCAATATACTGTGGTCATTCTTTACAGGTGCATTTCAAACAGCTTCTGCTTCCTTCACCTAATCAGGTGCTGAGGACGACAGCTGGACCCCTGACTTCGTCAGTTCAGAGACTTAGGCACAAAACAGAAATATGAGTACTCACTTTAATACCGGTCTTCCCTCGTTCACACAACCACATTCATTCCCCTACTGTAGCAGCAGTTGACTGAAGATTCACCTAAACTTCCTCCACGTGAACAAATCCACAAGGGCCGTGACGAGGATTCGAACCTGCGTCCGGGAGCATCCCAGACACTGCCTTAATCGACTGAGCTACGACAGGGTTAAAACCTGCACGTGGTTATGGAGACCACTGAGTTTGACCCGGTGAGTGAACACTGAGTACTGGATGGACGAGAGCGGCGACGCGTGCACGGGGTTGGCACGGCGAGGGAAGTCGGTGTAGATTGATAAAGATTAAGCCACCTAAAAGGTGGCACGGGCATGAATAGCCCGTAAGTGGCGGCCCTTTTGAGCCATTACCAGTATCAAGAGCTGATACTGGAGATCTATGGAGGTGCGACTGCACCCTGCGTGACGGGAAATGTCTCCCGTGAAGTCGGTGTAGACTACCACAGCCTTACAAGGCTTGCGTGGAAGGTGAGGTGACGACATGGTGACCAGGGAAGAGAAGCGGCGGAAATTTTCCGCTGCTTCTTCCACAGGAAGCCTCTATAACCACTGAGAAACCTACCTTATTTCCTTTCTCTGTCAGGTATTTTAGTCATAACAGATGACGATGGATGCCGACAATAACTCTCCAGCAACACGCTGGCAGAACTCTACACAAGCCTTAACAGGCGGCCAGTACTTCAGTCTCGAAACTCAATTTGGCCATCCCGGGTACGTCGGTCCAATCACTGTTTATACTGACGTGGCCACTTGTTCCAGCTGGAACACGTCTTCAGCTCAGGACTGCCCTGGGTGAACTGATTCCTGCTGACCACAGTCACTTCTGCGGACTAAAAATGTTGTTAGTAAGACGAACTATACCGGGATCAAATACGATTGCAATCTTCCACCGGTAAAGAGAAAATGCGAGTCGGGGGTGGGGGATTCCGCCCAACAGATGGCGTTATCATTGTCACACCTTCCACAACGTGCAAAACACAACAGGCTAGCCTAACCAAAAACGTACAAACCCAAGCCACCCACCTAACCTACCGATACATAGAAAACGGATATTTGTGAGCCGCTACTTTTCAAAAGCGCTCACAAAATCAAATCAATTGTTTATTCGAAATTGGCGCCCATACAGACAGTTATTCTGAACCTGAACAAGGACTACTTCGGAGCACTGTCCACACCCCATGTCAGACCAGGGGCCAGATTCATGAAGCAGTTACGCAAGCACTTACGAACCTGTACATCTTTTCTCAATCTTTGGCGGTTTTGTTTACAATTATTAAACAGTTAATGAGCTCCGAAGCACCAGGAGGCTGTTTATAACTATAACAGTTGATTGGGAAGTTTTCATTCTTGTAAACTGTTTAATAAATGTAACCAAAGCCGTTAAAGATTGAGGAAAGATGTACACGTTCGTAAGTACGTTCGTAAGTACTTGCGTAACCGCTTTGTGAATCCGGGTCCAGAACTGGAGCATTTGGCATTGATCCCACATCTTATGAAACAAATACTATAAGAGGTCTATAGTTTTGTGATAAGATTGATACCGGAAATAAGGGGCTTTTAGTAAGTGTGGTCTCCATGCAGTCAGGACTGTGTGCGGTAGACCTATAATGTCTTACCATACTAAAACGCACACTCACTCGCACACTCGAGGAAAGGTAAAGGTGAAGAAACAGGTAATGAAACCTAGGATAAGGGCAGATAGATTCACTACAAACGACATGGAAGTGTGCGAGGAACCGAATAAGAAATTCGAGGTGGTCTTCGCATTAGAGCAAGGAGTCTTTCCAGAAATAAGAGGGAATAATTTAACAGGCACCACTAGAAGAGCTTGAGATCACCAGTGGGGATGTAAGGAAGCTTTTGCTAGAGTTGGATGTGACAAAGGCTATAAGCCCAGATGGAATCTCCCCTTGAATACGAAAGGAACGAGCAGAAGCACTGTGCCTGCCACTCTCCATAGTGTATAACAAATCACTGGTAACAGGAAAGCTGCCAAAGATTTGGAAGACGGCTAATGTAGTCCCGATATACAAGAAGGGGGGGGGATAGACAGGAGGCACTGAATTACAGGCCAGTGTCCCTAACTTGCATACCATGCAGGCTGATGGAGACAATTGTGCGAAAAAAACTAGTGGAACACCTGGTACGAAAGAAGTTTGTAACACAGCATCAACATAGGTTCAGGGATGGCAAGTCCTGCCTCATAGGATTAATTGAATTCTACGAGCAGGCAACAAAAATCAGGCAAGAAAGAGAGGGGTGGGCAAACTTCTTATTTTTGAATTGCCAGTAAGCCTTTGATACAGTACCACACAAGAGGCTAGTACAAAAGCTGGAGATGCGGGCAGGAGTGAAAGGGAAGGTAATCCATTGGATAAGGGAGTACCAAAGTAACAGAAGACAGCGAGTCACTGTGAGGGGTGAGATCTCAGATTGGCGAGGCGTCACGAGTGGAGTCCCTCAGGGTTCAATCCTTGGTGCTATACTGTTTCTGATATATGTAAATGATCTCCCAGAGGGTATAGAATCGTTCCTCTCATTGCTGCTGATGCAAAAATTATGAGGAGGATTAAGACAGAGGAAGATAACCCGAGTAAATGTAAGGTAATGAAACTAGGCGGGGGAAACAGGTCAGACACAGGATACCGAATAGGAGATAAAGTACTTCATAAAGCGGAGAGAAAAATCTAGTTGATATCACACCAACCCTGTCTACTGAAGCCCACATCAAAAGAATAATATTTGCAGCTTATGCGAGGCTAGCTAACATCAAAACAGCCTTCAGGAACCTGTGTAAGGAATCATTCAGAACCTTGTATACCACATATACAAAACCAATCCTGGAGTATGCGGCCCCAGCATGGAGCCTTGTCAAGCACAAGACGAACCTGGAAAAAGTTCAGAGGTATGCCACTAGGCTAGTCCCAGAGCCATAAGGCATGAGTTACGAGGAAAGGCTGCGGGAAATGCAACTCACGACACTGGAAGATAGAAGAGTAAGGAGAGACATGATCACTACCTACAAAATTCTCAGAGGCATTGACAGGGTAGATAAGGATAAAATGTTTAACACGGGTGGTACGCGAACAAGGGAAGACAGATGGAGACTGAATACCTAAATGAGCCACAGGGACGTTAGAAAGAACTTTTCAGTGTCAGAGTAGTTAACAGATGGAATGCATTAGGCAGTAACGCAAACACAACTAGGTGAGTACTCGCTCGCACTCCCCCCCCCCCCCTTCTACCGCATTTATGCTATGTATCCCTCAGGCGTCTGCTTACACGGGCCATCTGGCCGGATCCAGTTAAAAATAGGAAAGCTGTGACTCTTGCACCATCCAGCCATTATACTTCTTAATGTCTCCTCTTATAGTAATAGTTATTATTAACTTGTATATACAAGTTATAAAGCATATCGTAGTACATAAGCCTTGAGAATGTGTTTTACCCAGCTTGAAGAAGCCTCACTTTGAAGGTGTCAGATGTCAAACTCATCGTCTGACTCATCGTGCAGACGATGAGTCACAATAACGTGGCTGAAGATATGATGACCAAACCACACATCAGAAGACGGAGAGACGACGACGTTTCGGTCCGTGCTGGACCATTATCAAGTCATACACACACGACTTAATAATGGTCCAGGACGGACCGAAACGTCGTAGTTTCTCCATCTTCTGATGTGTGGTTACGTCATCAAACTGTTTAGTGTGAATGCAGTATGTAAAGTATTTCTAAACTCTGCAAAGTTCTAAAACAAAAAATTCTTGATGTTGATTTGCAACTGTAAGGGAAACAAACAATGACATCCAACAATTTTTTGTTGAGTAAAAGTAGGACGAGAACATAAGCTGAAGCTAGAGACGCAAATAAGTCTTATGACATGAAATGTTTTTCGTTGACTACCCGTACGGGGTACAAGTGGAATGCACTGAAAGAAGTTGTGGAAGCCACCTCCATCCATAATTGTAAGGCCAGATTTAAGACTTCGAACGTTAGAACAGGTACAACGAGGCTAGTAAGCGGGGCTTAAAGCGCTAGACCTCTCTTTCCCCCTAGTCACTGATAGGTAACAAGTATTAGATGAGCCTAGATACCTCCACACGTTTATTTATTTATATATTTATTTATTTATACAAGAGTTCTTACATTCTTGTACAAACAAAGTACGCGTAGCGTTTCGGGCAAGTCCTTAATCCCATGTTCCCTGGAATACGACCCCGCAAAAAATCGTTTAGCAACCAAGTACCCATTTTACTGTTGAGTTAAACAGAGGCTACAGTTAAGGATTTGCGCCCAGTAAATCCTCCCCGGCCCAGGATACGAACCCAAAGCACTCGCGAAATGCCAAGTGGATGTCTTACAACTACACCATGGCGACTGCTCTGCTCTCTAAGGTTCTTGTTACTAGTATATGGTTGAATTTTGCTTATTAACGTGTGCACTTAATTTTTTTCCATTATACGTAACTACTGTACTATCTTCACAGGCTACCACCATATCCGTCCGGCTGAGATCCTAGGCTGCTGGCTGTGTCCGAAGGCTTCGCACTCGTGTTGCCACTACGCCCACCCCACCGGCGTCAGCCCGGGCGTGCACCCCACGCCCCTAGCTGTGGCACGCTGTAAGCACTCCCTGGGGCGGAGGAATGAAGGGCTTACAGTGGAGTACTGCCAGCGGGGGCGTGGGGTGGAGTGGAGGGCGCGGGCAGTGGCTCTTGTTCACCTGGCAGGGGACGTGGTGGTGGCGTGGTACCACGCCATCTGGGGGCTCCTTCATGGTCAGTATGCTCTAAACTATCCGTTCTCTCCCTAATACGTCACTTTTTTACGTAATCGATCGACCTGTTAAAAATGCAACATTTGTTAAAAAGCACTGTAATATTGACGTTTATTATGCATCGGTCTTGATAGGTTAGGTGGGTTGCTTGGGTTTGTACGTTTCTGGTTTTATAAAACAGTTGTTTTTAACGAGCTGCCCGTATAAACACGGTGTCTCAGCAAGGTGGACAGCCCACGTGCTATCATCACGTCATGTTAGCAAGGTGGACAGCCCACATGTTATCATAACGTCATGTTAGCAAGGTGGACAGCCCACATGCTATCATAAGGTGTCAGCAAGGCAGATAGCCCACATGCTATCATAACGTCATGTTAGCAAGGTGGACAGCCCACATGCTATCATAAGGTGTCAGCAAGGCAGATAGCCCACATGCTATCATAACGTCGTGTCAGCAGGGCAGACAGCCCTGCCATTCATAATCGGCATTCATCAGTAATTTTTAACATCACCAATAGAGTACTGTGAACCTATTATCCAAAGATTATGACGCCTATAGCTGCTATGGATGGGATGTACGAAATATGTATGGTAATTTATAAGACGCTACTCTCTATAGGGTCCCCTCCGTGGTGTCGCGTTGTCATGGTCAGGAGCTCGCGTACACCTCCCTGAGACACCTCCCTGGCTCTGTACATCTCCCGGTCCCAATCCCTGGGACAGGGAGGTGGACGTGAGTACGTGTACTGTACTATTGTTCATCCTACCCAGCAATCTTCATGTTGTTCGCTCCCGTTCTTCTTCTCCTGTTTAGACAATAGAGTATGTCGCCCAGTACCTTGTGGCTAACACATCTGTCTCTTCGAGTCAGAAACGTAAACTAAAAAAAAAACAAAAAATAGTGGTGGGAGTACGGTGACTCGCCATATTATGGAGACAAACGTTTCCGCTACTTGGAGGGCACGGGGGGGGGGAAGAGAGTGTCTTCAGAGTGGTTAGGGTGTTGTCTGCGAGCCATTATTGATCCAAATAAGCCTCCACGGAGGCGTCTGACTCAAGACCCTTATCACTATTTCTTTGAAGAAAGGGTAACATTAAAGTTGTAAATATAAATAATAATCCCTACGTAATTTTCACTTTTTTCTAAACCAGTAAAGACGGCACGCGAAACCTACCCACACAGTTTAGACGCGCTCTCCCACAGCGTTAACATCCCGGATTTTAGCAAATTTGAAAGTATTGTAAAACTGACGCTTCCTCGGATTAATTAACCATGACCTTGACAAGGTTGGTACGCATCTGGTACGAGCCACCTCATAACTGGCGCTAGTCAAATGGACTACCAGGAGACCCCATCATGGTATTGATTAAGCTTCGGATATTTGGTGGCCTCGCTTATAATTCATCCGGCCTCGACGTACACTGATCGGTTACTTCATACACGAGTTAGTCTAAGTGCACATAGTGGCAGGTGTAGCCTAGTGCACATAGTGGCAGGTGTAGCCTAGTGCACATAGTGGCAGGTGTAGCCTAGTGCACATAGTGGCAGGTGTAGCCTAGTGCACATAGTGGCAGGTGTAGCCTAGTGTTGTAGCTAAGTGTACATAGTGGCAGGTGTAGCCCACTGTTGTAGATGTGTACACAGTGCCGGGGTGTTGTATTTAATCGAAAATCCATATTTCCTCGGGTTTGTTGCATTTTTCGTGCATTAAGAATATGAACATTTTAATAGCGACGGTCTAGCTTCATGCAGGTGTGCGTTGAATCCCCGGCAATACTTACCGTTGTCCCTTCCAAGTGCTATATAGTCATAATGCCTTCGCGCTTTCTCCTAATAGCTTCCTTCTTTTCAGTGTAGGCATTTGTACGTTATGGTCCCCAGTGGACATAATACTTGGTACTATGAAAACTGCTCACAAATTTCAGTTTTCTGTGCGTCGGTTGGTTAGGTTAGGTGGGTGGCTTGGGTTTGTGTGGTGTAATACCACTTATTTTGTCTTGTGGCAAGTTAAGTGAACGGGCTGAAGCGAAAGTTGAGTTGGAGTTATTTAATTAATGTACAACCCGAGGTTATAATAAATAAACCTGGGAATGTGTAGCGTTGTAATAAATTGTCTGTCCAGGACTTGCAATAAATGACTGCCTTGTTTGACAGTTGTAATAAATGGCCGCCTTGCCTGACAGTTGTAATAAATGGCCGCCTTGCCTGACAGTTGTAATAAATGGCCGCCTTGCCTGACAGTTGTAATAAATGGCCTCCTTGCCTGACAGTTGTAATAAATGGCCGCCTTGCCTGACAGTTGTAATCAATGGCCGCCTTGCCTGACAGTTGTAATAAATGGCCGCCTTGCCTGACAGTTGTAATAAATGGCCGCCTTGCCTGACAGTCGTATTATGTGCGGCTTGTAAACATGGCTGCGACAATAGAGGTATAGGGAGCAGAAGCTGGCGGTGCGTAGACAATTACACAGTGTGCAGTGTACACGCCTTCACATACTGGGAGCGGGTGATTATTCTCGACACGCAGTTGCTTCATGCTGTAGCTTACACTAGAACGCTTCTTTAGTCCGCGTAGCCGCTTGAACCTTTAAACTGCGCGGCTCTAGAACCATGCAATTTCAATTTCTTTATTATGCACCCCATACCCATCCCGTGGGCGGTGGTGTAAAGGATTACAGAGGCACATAATCGGTTCAGGATATTTGGTGGCCTCGCTTATAATTCATCCGGCCTCGACGGTTCATCCGAACCCTCTAGTTCGTTTTGCCGAGCAAATAACAATGTTTATGCAGTTCACTCAGACACGAAAATATGTTGGTCGTTACGATAGGAGCACAACACAGCCCCATTTCTAACTAATTTCACTAGCCTCTTCGAGGTCTAGTTGGAACTGGAGCACCCGTGTAGGCATTTTTTCGTATTGAGTTTTGGCAACACTGCTGGCCACACCTTTGTGGCAGCAATGTGGTTGAAGGTAAATTAACAACTTTGTTTATGCTTTATAATAATCAGAATAGTCATTGAGGCCGCACCAGATGTTCCAGATAACATGCATAGCAGCTGTGAACAGTACTCCTATTGCATATTCTGACACTAACAACAAATTTGTTAGAGTAGACAAATGTGTAACAAAATAATCTCACGATGTTGGAACAAAGAGATAACATTTTATATATATTTTTTGTTTACTTTTTTAATGCCTTAATGCTTCATATCCTATCAAGTGACATCTCACGGTATAGCAAGTATTTTTACCTGTATTTACCTGAAGGCCACCATCTCTAGCGGCCTCGACGAGAACAGGAAGTCGGCGGCTTGTCAAAGTCTTCCCCAATGTTCCTGGGGATTTTTTCCAATTGCATTTTGAACAGATGTAATGTTTTGGTATTTACGTCTTTGGTGGATAGGCGATTCCATTGGGTTATAACCCTACTATGGGTTATAAACTCTGCTTCCCCATTCCCAATCTCCTCCCTCGCCCCCGGTGTCCCTCCCTCTCCAAACATTTCCCCTCACCGTCTTCAAATATACCCCCTTGCCCTCTATCGCTGTCTCAAAAAAATGTAATGCTGAATTCACGTTCAGAACTACAAACACCTCCAACGGATACCTGATCAACCAGGCTGTGATTTACACGTCAGGTTGTGAGCAGCTGCATCCAACACTGGTTGACCAGACCAATCATGCAGGATGCATAGTTATAGACCGGGCCGCGAGGACGATTGTCCTCGGAACTGTCACAAGGTAACCACAGGTAACAAGATATAGTTTCGAATAAGGAAATCTAAAGACTATGCCAGCCCACCTTTCATTGTTTGTTGAAGTGGGGGGAGTGTTCTTATGTTCTTTCCCCCTCCCCCCCTTACATCTTTCCCATTTCTGCCTTCTCTCCTTCCTCTCTGTTCCCTCCTCTCTCTCTCCCATTTTCTCCCTTCTCCCCTCCAACCTCGAACACAAACATTATCTCTTATAGATATAAAGAGGGTACCCGGCTGCACTTGGGTCTTTTCTCTTTCCCCATCTCCCTATCTTCACACCACACTCCCTTCACCCCCTCTCCTTGGTACGCCACTTTGTTCTCACCCCCCCCCCCCCTTCTCGCAGAAAATCTTACTTAAGAATCACTGAAATTCTGTGGGGAAACACCAAATATTTCATACTTGACTCCATGAAAATCACATGTGGTTGTATTTATAAATACAGTACTAATATATCTTAAAATATTATCTTGGACCCCGACCAGCCTATGTCCGTCTTGTACCCTAGACAATTTTCTCTGCCAAGTTGGGTGAGGCTATCCCTCAAGCATCTGCCTCCAATCTTAGATGCATACATATGTTTTCTGAAGCGTATTGGGTATAATTTAGTTAATATTAACCAAATTAATCCTTCCAATTAAATCTTGCGTCGCCACAATGGACTAGAAAATGTTTACTAAAACACACGAACCTAACCTAACAGACTTGAGCTATTGACCCACGCATAGAAAGTGAGTGATTGTGATCTGCTATGAATCATTGTATGACGTATATTGTCCGTTGGGGATATTGGCCTCAAAATACCATGCATTGAGAGGACTGGTTGGAGCAGTATAGCCTTGTCAACAATTGACTCCACATGCACACCACATTATGGACTCTAGGGACCTCACTTGCAGCCATAAACTGACTATAATTGTATTTGTTTTATGGTGCCTTTATTTTAGGATAATAATTAAGGTATATTAATAGTTGACAAGCATAGTGTTGGTTATTGATTTCCACATCTCTCCCGGCACTCAGGTCTGCCTCAGCGACCCCGGCGGGTTCTGGTGGTGATCAACCCCGTGGGCGGCAGGAGGCACGCCCATCGTATCTACAGTCGCAAGGTAGCGCCACTCTTCAGTCGCGCTGCTGTACAAACCTCCGTAGTTCAGGTCAGTTCTTACGCAAGCTTTGTTCCCCCATCTTTATCACACTTTCTACCTCTTGTGGACCGGTTATGGACCACTGGGCGGTCTGCCAGAGAAGAAACCTAATATTGTAAAATTATTTGAGATTGTAATTATTGTTTTTCAATTTAATTGGTCGTTAGATTGCTGTCTGGTTAAATTGCAACATACATCCTTCCCTATTCTCATAGCCTGCTTTAGCACAGTGGTCTATGTCATCTGTTCACAACCAAAGGTCTCTGGTTGGACACGTTTCCTTTCACCTGATGCCTCCGTTCACCTATCAGTAAAAAAATTTCTCATTTTTTTTCTTGCAATGTATTTATCATTTTATTAATTCTGATAGAATTTACCTACTTAAAATTATCTGTTAGATTAAGGACCTGCCCGAAACGCTGCGCGTACTAGTGGCTTTACAAGAGTGCAATTACTGTACTATGCTATGTATTCTCACAAACCCAATGTACCTTCTTGTATATAAATAAATAAATAAAATAGGTATTAGATTGTTAGGCAACTAACTGTTCTGGTCTAGGTATCAGAAGCATTGGGTGAATTAGGTGAAAGGAAATGTGCCTATAACCATTTCTGTCTCACCCGGGAATCAAACCTGGGATCCCCGATTGCGAGTCACGAAGTCAACTGTACTACAAAACCCTATTTATGGTGAACGAGGTACATAAAATCATTTGACTACCATGCATTCCACACCTATTTAGTAGGCCTTTTTTTCTCATCCACAGACGTGACCATTAATTTATACAATAATAAACAGCTCGTATATATTTTCTTCTGTCTTCCATGAAATTGGTTAGAGATCTGTTAGACAAAATGTTGTGTAGCGAGTTATTGAGCACTCGACCACAGGCAATTGTAGCGCCTTTATTATACAAACCAACATCCAGACAGTAGACTATGGCACTGGAAAGGGTTTAAGTGTCATGCATGCACTACCCACTGTAGGTAAACTTTGTATAATTGGTATCCCAAGTCATAGAATAGTTACATAATACTGAAGGGTAAGAGAAGGCCGACTTATATGGTTGCAGATAATGTTTTCTTAAATATAGTGGTTGGGTATAAATCTTACAATGTGGGCCTGAATATTTTGAGATACTAAGAGTGAACACCCCGTCCTCCTAATACATCTTCACATTTTGACGCATACCTTACTTAAGGTCCAAAATCGTTGTACGAGAAAATGGAAGAGGCTCGCGAAATTTGCACACTGTCCCGTTTTCTGTTTTGGGTCCTTTGATAGGTTAGGATAATAAACTTTAGTACGACAGTTTCTTGACATTGAGAAACCTTAGAAGGACGGGCTGATTTCATAGTGGTAGTGAGATATTGCGATGTGTGGCATAGTAGTATAGTGTCTTGAGGGTGCAGAGAAAACGCATGATACCATGATCAGAATTGTTGATGACAAGAGGTTGATAAGGGTAAGGAATCAATAAATTATGGCGATTTGCAATATCACATTGTAATAATGAACAGGGTTTTGGCAGTGTTTGAAGAGAGGAGTGTTAGTTGGGCTCGGCCAATGTGTTTTTACCTATCAAAGTTTGCAGGACTGAGCTTTAACACCTGGACTCCACCCTTCCAAGTGTCTGTTACTTAATAGTTACTCTCAATATTGTATATATTTTCATATCTATTGTTCCCTTCTTTTTTTTTTCTTTTTTTTTGAGATATATACAAGAGTTGTTACATTCTTGTACAGCCACTAGTACGCGTAGCGTTTCGGGCAGGTCCCTGGAATACGATCCCCTGCCGCGAAGAATTGTTTTTTCATCCAAGTACACATTTTACTGTTGCGTTAAACAGAGGCTACAGTTAAGGAATTGCGCCCAGTAAATCCTCCCCGGCCAGGATACGAACCCATGACATAGCGCTCGCGAAACGCCAGGCGAGTGTCTTACCACTACACCACGGAGACTCTCTCCTTGCCACTTCGGGGGGGTGGTTGTTTAGATTCAGCTACTGGGAACAAAAAGTTCCAAGTAGCACTGGCTATGGTGAGCCCATAGTGGACTTACCCGGCACAGGAGCGGTACTGTAACTGCCAGACTTCTCGCCGGCCACTTCGGGGAGAGTGGGTTTTTATAGAGTCGGGGCATAAATTCCCCCCAACCACAGGGCATGGGTGTAAGGTATGAGATTGAAAGCCATACCCCTAGAATATCGCTAACACCCGCTCTTACTTTCTTATAAATAATGGGAGGATCCAGGTGTCTAGCAGTAATAATCAGTTCTATCTGCATGGGACAAGAAATACACCTTGGGGGTACAATTTTACAAAGGGTTTTTATTTAACACCAGATTATCTAACCCTGATTCGAACAGGGGGAGGGGGGGGGTGTACTTAGACCATCCAAAAGAATTGTTGCCGACAAAGGGGGGAGGGGAGTTCTTCCAAACCAACACACGTCTTAGGAGTCAACTGGCAAAAGGGACCACACACAACAGGTTAGGTCTTCACAAACTGGGACTTAAGGTCATCACTATATTCCACTCCACTTGGGTAACTACAAAGGGCATGGGTTTTATCAATACACTGTTCTGATCACAATACACAAAGTGGTGGACAAAGTAAATGTGGATAACACCATGTGATGCAGAGCTGAGCACATGAATTAATAATTCAACACACTACCTAGTTAAAATTTAATACACAACACTAGTACTGTACTGTATTAAGTTTTAGTCTTAGTGTTTTTCCTGCCCGAAACGCTTTGCGTAATAGTGGCTTTAGGCATTGTATGTACTAGCTCTATCTATAAATCCATCAACTTTTGTATCTTACCTTGTATGTATGTACCTTACCTTAATAAAAATTTATTATTGCTATACCTACACGCAGGGTTCTGAAATCCTTGTTTATACAACTTCTTATCTCTAACTCGTACAAAAAGGGAAGCACCGCTATAAAACATCTGATACTGCACTTAACGTATTGCTGGAGACCATCCCAAGCCACACAAGTGACTGGTCCTTTCCCTCACTGCCTCTCTACACCAAGTGAACGAGAGGGCTTGCACATGTCTTTGCCTGCCCAGTTCCAATAATGTTCCCCATACATATGTCATACACATTTCCCAATAGTTCAGTTATGTGTCTTATAATGTTCCAGGCTGTTTTTCAACATTTAACACTGCCATTTCTCCCTACACAAGGGTCTCTCTTACATGGAAAGAGGTGGGTGGTGCACCCACCTCTCCCTATGCCCTGTTGTGAAGTGCGCACACATTTCCCTACCAACACAAACTAAAATATATAAATGGTTAGTTGGCACATCTCGCTCAAAGGAGTTAAGATGATAATGGTTAGTACAATGAAAAAATCTTTTGGTTTTTCTTGTGTAAAATGCTGCTCCCCTCCCTTTGTGTGCTCAGAATATCATTACAAAAAACTAAAGCTAAGGGAAAAATGCCACACTGCCTAAGTGGCAGGTATGATAACTTTGAAGACAGGATACATGGAAAGATACTTCAAAATGGAAGCTCCTGGCAAGGCCCCGGAGAGGGAGGTTTGTCATGTATACGAATCGGGTCCCTCCGGCCGCCACCATACCCACCCGAGGGCTCTGGACAGGTCGTCCATCCTCCTGTACTCGCCTAGTTGTGCTTGTGAGGGTTAAGCTCTGGCTCTTTGGTCCTGTCTATCAACTGTCATTCAACTGATGTACAGGTTCCCGAGCCTATTGGGCTCTATTATATCTACACTTGAAACTGTGTATGAAGTCTGCCTCCACCACCTGTGAGAAACCATTCGGGAAAATGGTACCATCCAATGACGAACCTACATAGATAGCTACCAGCTATTCTGGCCACGGGTCTCCCCATTGTGACTATATTTCACCCTGTGCACCTGTTGCACTATGATCCTGGGACCAAGAAAATATGGAGTTAGGCTTCTGCCCATGGCCTCTATTTATATTGGTAATCATTGCTAACATTTCCTTTGTCCATTGTCAATCCATCTAAGTATTTTATATGTATCAATTGTCTCCCCTCTACCTCATCATTTTTAGCAACATTAGGTCTTGAGCCTGTGCTACTTTCTCTTCTGAGAATAAAGGATATGGCAGAAGGCCTATTGGCTTATGCAAGACTGTTTTTGTTTATATCCAGTCTAATTCATTAATGTCTAACCTCCTATTTAAACAATGCAGCTGTCCCACGTCTATTATGTTAATCAGTAATTTGTTCCATAAATCAACAACCCTATTTCCAAACCAGTATATTTCCAGGTCTTTCAGAGTGTAAGCTTATCCTATTTGTATCTATTGTTAATGGTACTATTTTGTGTTGATATATTTAACACATTATCTTCCTAACTTAATCAGTTTATTTTCGTTATAACTTATTCATTGCTTATCTGCGTATCTAGCTTTCATGTGTGTGTTTTCTCATAATATTGCTACCTAGTAGATACATTATGTATGCCTATTGATATCCGCAAGAACATTTTATGTCTGGATTATACCGCCTCTATGCTTTGTCATTAGGTTAATTTCCTTTGTCCTCGTAGCTCAGTGCCCTTACCCCTGGGACTAGTTTTTGGAGCTAACCTATATACTATTTGTACCTAGTGTTTTTGAGGTGCGGGACTTCACACTGGCACCACTTCATCTATGTAGTGTAGATGAAGCCTTCTGGAGCCAAACTTGCCCTAGGCTTCTGGAGAAATACTGCTAGTTTCATACACAGGTGGGTACAGAAGTAGACAACTTCTGACTCCTGTTAATAGGAGCTAGTTCACTCGGCATGTAAACACGAGTGAAGCAACGTGATGTCAGACCCCCTCTCCGTTCCCCACAGACCGAGTACAGAGGACACGGACGGGAGCTCGTGGAGAGGAACACTGGTTTGGATGGCCTTGACGGTGTGGTGGCTGTAGGCGGTGATGGCCTGGTGAACGAGCTTGTGATGGGGCTGCTGCTGGTGTCGGCGAGGAAGGCTGGCCTGGACCCCCACGACCCGGAGGTGACACTGCCCCCCACCCACCTCAAACTCGGGATCATACCTGGTAGGTCACCCCCACATAGCCTTCCTTCTATTATAGGATATTGTTCTTCCCTTGTACCCCTTCCTGTACTTTTGCAACCTCTCCCAGAGATAAACATGTTTTGTTCACAGGTATCGATATATTTTGGCTTCAGATGTTTTCTTGGAAGTGAGGGTGGTAATGAGGGGAGAATACTAGAAGCTTGTCTGGGAAGATAGAGGAATTATTATAATTTTCTAAATAATAATAATAATTTATTCACAAGATGATACAATGGGTTGGTGATATTACATAGGATTGGTATTTGTACATTCTTACAGAGCCATTTAACACCCAAAGCATTTCAGGGCCATCTCAACAGCGTTATGGGGCCCCTGGGCAATCCAATGTGCTGGGGCCCCTATGACAACCATTCACAAGAATAAAAAGTAAATACAGTAGTCAATAATATTAAACACATTTATTTGGCACTTCAACAAAACTGGTGTTAAAACATTAAAACATGTTATAGAGCAGCAACTAATCAACATGATAAACATTTGAATAATACACAAGGCTATATACTCAATACAATACACAAAGTTCTACATAACTGTACCTAATAAACTCCATGTAACCTACCTTACCCACTAAATGTCAACCTATGTCTTGCTGTTTTCAAACAACAATGATTATTGACCAACTTTTATAACTGCTGAGATCCGCCATGTATAAATTTGAAGAAAATTGTAGTCTTCTGTTTATTTAGTTGAAATTGTTTCTGCTAGTTAAAAAATTAAAATTGGAGTACGAGTTTAATCATTACTGTGTGCGTGATAAACGGTGACAGAAAAATCATCTTATCAATGGAATATGAGTAGGAGTTAGATAAGGAAACGGTATACTGTACTGTACATGCTGTATATTAATATGCTTTATTTCTTTTATGTTTAATATTTAAAATTATCATATTTTTAAAATGTCAGTGGAGTTTTATAAAGTCTAGCTTGCAGGGATTAGTAATAGTGGTTATTTATTGTCAGTTTTAAGTACTGTATCCATTTGTCTTGTATTATGATTAAATCATTCATTTTATAGACATTGTATCCTTGTCTTGTATTATGATTAAATCATTCATTTTATAGACATTATATCCTTGGCCTTGGCTTGCATTTAATTAACTAGCTCACTCATTAATCATTAAAGCCTTCCACTGATGTTGGATAGTTATGTGATGCTGTTCATTTTGCCATTAATGTTCATATTGTAATGACTTTAAAGGTGGAAGTACGGATGCTATGTGCCATGGGACACACGGAACTAGCGATGTGACCACCGCAGCACTTCACATCATTATGGGTCAGTTGAACATCCAAGTTTAAGGACTGTTGGCCTTGGAAATATTAATACTATAAAATTGTGATGAAATATTAACTGGACAATTTGTATCCCTTTCAGTTTAACTATACAATACTGTACTTTATGTGCTATAGTGTACATTTTCCCCACTAACCTAAAATGTATTTGGTATATATTTATTCAACTTGATATTCTATACAGTTGTAAAGTAAAACTGGTGATATATATATGCATATTAACTTGGTTAACATTTTCATTTTTTTTTTTTTTTAATGCTAAGGCATTCATATTGAGACTGTACTTTATATATTTTGTTTAATGATCTCAAGCTGTGATAAGTATTTATGAGCACAACGCAACTGTACAATGGAACCCAGTTTAACGCAAGTTGTAAACTAAATTATTGTAGTCGTAATATCAGACGCAACAGAAAATAACGGAAGTTCTGGACAAGCAAATTGGCATATTCACAGGACCTGGATGTGAAAAAAAATTACTCCTGGTGATTTAGATATTAAGGTTTGTAGTAATGCATGTTTTTTAATTTTCACATAAAAATACAGTAGTGGCCATAATAGTGAAAAACAACTTCTGGTTAAAGTTGGCAGGAAAGTACCAAAATTAACTTAAGCAGGTTACCATTGTACAGGTACAAATTTTCTCCAGTGCTCATTATCCAATATAGGAAATTAAATGTTATATATATAATATACTGTATATAATACATATTTATACATACACATGCATATGAAACATATTTTGAATGAGTAGCCTCTTGGTGTGAAGGTGTAAACAAAGTCATGCGGTGGCGGAATAAAAAAAGCTTCTCGGTATCCACAAAGTAAGTAAATAGTAACTTGGGTGAAGAGAAATGGCGGAAAGCTCTGATAAGTGTGGTGTGTGTCACTGTGCTGTAGGTCCCAGGGCAAAATGAAGTATCGAGTGTGCAGGTTGCAAATTGATGTACCACTGCTCTTGTCTTAATATCTCGGATGCCTTATGTGAGGCATACCATAACGAGGAAACAAAGTATAGGGCTCGTTTACATTTATTGCATCACTTACAATGATAAACTAAGGAAACATAAGAGATAACAAAAATAAAGATGAACCAAATGAGGAGAATGAAGATGAATTAGTGGAAAAGATTGGGTCTAGGAAAGAATAGTGTTGTGAAAAAAGATGGCCCTTTAAATGTGTTGAAGTAAACAAATGAGCATGAAGATGCAATACTAAAGGAACTGATTGAAGGCCACAAAGCAATGAAGGAGTTACAGGAAGAACAAGAAGTTTTGAAAAAATTAGTTATAGACCTTAAAAAAAAAATTAGATAAATGTATGGACAGGCCCAGGGCCAACCAGGCATTCCTGGGGAATAGGGTAATCACACTCGAGGGTAACTCGTCGAATGCAGCAGAATTCCGGATAGGGATGCAGAAACCATGGGTAGGCATAGATGAAAAACCTCATAAGTAACCTCGAGAAAGAAGACAAGGACAACAAGGAACTTATTAAGGCAATGTTAGAGAAACTGATATACTGTACTCAAGTCTTCCATCTTGCCTATCAGATGTCAGGAGGTTGGGTAGACCGTAAGCATATATGGTAAGAAGAACCATTGTAAATTTTGAGCACAGAAGGAAGATACTAAACCATGCCCACAAATTCAAAGATCTCGAGGGATATAACCGAATGTATATATATATCCAGACCTCACTATTGAGCAACAACAACAAAAAAGTACTAAGAGGCAAACTGAAGGGAGTTAAAAAAAAAACAGAATGATACAAAAATGCACAGCTAAGGATCAGGAGAGGACAGGTTATCCAGATTGCAGACAGGTGGGGAAGTCAAAACCCTTTACCCAGTCAGGCAGAACTAAATCTCTACATCTTGGATGAGAAACAGTTTCAGAACTAGAACGGAAATGTATAAAATAGTAATGCACTAAATACAGGAGCAATCTCTCAGTCCCCAGGAATAATGTCAGGAGTTTAAATTGTTTCTACACAAATGCCAGAAGCCTAGTAAATAAATCTGAATCATTATGTGCATATACCGAGGCTGAAAATCCCGACATCATTGGCATCAGAGAAACGTGGGGCAGAGAGGACATAATAGAAAAGGCATTCTATCTCCCAGGATACCACCCACCATTTATAAAGGACAGAACAACAGAGCAGGTTAGGTGATGCTGTATATAAAGGAGGACCTGGATGCAACCAACAATGAGGAACTGAACACCATGACTTGTATGGTGCATCCAGTCTGGGACAGAAATAGTTGGGCACATTTCCTTTCACCTAATGCCTCTGTTCACCTAGAAGTGCATAGGTACTCTGGAGTTAGTCGGCTGCTTGTGGGGGTTGCATCCTTGGCGGGGTCAGTAATTCGATCTTGGGGGGGACGTAGATAAAAGCCAAATGTGTGTGAATGCACTCTGGCTTCCTGTCTCCTGACAGTGATTTTTTGAGATATATACAAGAGTTGTTACATTCTTGTACAGCCACTAGTACGCGTAGCGTTTCGGGCACGTCCTTAATCCTATGGTCCCTGGAATACGATCCCTTGCCGCGAAGAATCGTTTTTTCATCCAAGTACACATTTTACTGTTGCGTTAAACAGGCTACAGTTAAGGAATTGCGCCCAGTAAATCCTCCCCGGCCAGGATACGAACCCATGACATAGCGCTCGCGGAACGCCAGGCGAGTGTCTTGCCACTACACCACGGAGGCTGGTAATTATATAGAATTATATTAACTCAAGATGATAGTAAAATGACTGTGGGAGTATGCTACAGGGCTGACACAGCAGTGGAAGAAGAAATTGTGGATCTGCATAATGCGATTCTATGAGGCATCTGAAACCCAAACCCTAATAATGGGGGATTTAAATCACGAGACCATAGATTGAATCAACCTAACATCTCAAACAGAAGGTGAGCAATTTCTCGACCTTGTGCAGGACTCCTTTCTCATACATTGTGGTTGAGCCCACACGTGGTAACAGCATACTAGATCTTGTGCTAACAACAGATGAGGGTATGAATGATCAAATTCTTGTGGGGGGAAAAGCTAACTTCCTATGAATATAGAAACTCGCATAAAGGTCAAAGATGAATTTCTAGATTACCAGGGAGATGGCTTTCAAGGAATGAGAGAGGAACTGAAAACTATCTCCTGGAGGGAACTGATGGGTGAACATGGCACAGAAGCCTCATGGCAAAATTTCAAGAGGGTCATTAAAGAACAAATTCAAAAATGTGCCAAAAGAAAGAAAACCAAGAAAGGGGAACTAGATGGATGACACAGGTCATAAAACAAGCATTGGTAACTAAGAGAAACCTCTGGAGAACGTATAAATCCACGATGGACATCATTGTTATACAAATGGGCACTAAACGCAGCCACTCAGAAAATTAGAGCAGCTAGAAGAAACTACAAAAGAAAACTTGTCCAAAACATAGTTAGTTTAGTTCACTTATTATGCACCCCATACCCATCTTGTGAGCAGTAGTGGAAAGGGTTACATAGGCACATAATGGGCTCAGGAACTAAAAGATCCCAAATCGTTCTATGCCTATATAAGGGGTAAAACAAAAACAAAGGACTTGGTTGGACCCTTAATACGCGAGACTAACAGATATAATGGATGATGAATGGGCAGCAAACACCAAATGATAACTTTACATCAGTGTTCACACTTGAAAGGTTGGATGACATCCCATCACCCATACAAATGTTTGAAGGAGGGGTGGAGAATGAATTTAGGGATATATCCATAACATGCAAACAAAAATTAGAACATTGACAAACTAAAAGACTCAAAGGCCCCAGGTGTGGATAGAATCCAATCCAAAGTCTTAAAGGTATTGACAGAAGAACTATGCCTTCCTCTGAAACTACTTTTCACAAAATCTCTGGAATAAGGGATACTCCCCCGAGATTGGAAATATGCAAATGTTATTCCTATTTAAAAAAAAAAAAAGGCAGAAAGAGCTCAGCAGAAAACTACTGGCTGATCAGCTTGACATCACACATCTGCAAGCTCATGGAGAGAATCCTCAGGGAGGGAATCTTCCGCCACCTTTCGGTGAACAACCTTACACAGTCGACACAACATGGATTTGTTAAAAACCGATCCTGCCTTACAAACTTTTCACATTTTTGGAAACGGTAACCAGCTACTCAGACAAGGGCCTCCAAGTGGATGTAATAAACATGGATTTTACTAAAGCTTTCAATAAGGTACCACATGAAAGACTGGCAAGGAAATCACAGGCTCATGGAATAAATGGTAAAATATTAGAACGGATAAAATAATAGTTGAAGGAAATAAAACAAAGGGTCGTGCTAAATGGAAACTAACCTGAATGGAGAAATGTGATAAGTGGGGTGCCACAATGGTCCATTTTGGGACCTATCCCTTTTGTCATGTACCTCAATGACATAGATGAGAACATTACAAACCACATCATCAAATTTGCAGACAAAAGAAAGATTTATGGTAAAGTGGGAAATGATAATGAAGCCTTGCAGAGAGATCTACATGAACTCCACAAGTGGTCACAAGACTAGCTAATGTGTTTTAATATTGACAAATGCAAGACCATGTATGTGGGGAATAACAGCTCATGCCACGACTACCAAATTAATAGCATTACAATCCAGCAGATTGGTGAAGAAAAGGACCTTGGAGTCAAAATCCACCACTCATTAAAGGTTGCACAACAGGTGGGTGCAGCAGTCAGAAAAGCTAACCAAACTCTTGAAATAATAAAGTGTAGTGGCAGTGGTGAAGTTCACTGTATGTTACAGTACAGCAAACATTTAATTGCACTCAAATACTAAAATAAATGTACAGTAAATCATTTGTTTATTAGTAACCTAGAAGTATCCAAAACCAGGATTCTGTACAGTAATATTAAATATGCAATCATCATAAAATTAATATTTATTACCTCCAGGTGACAGCCGATGTGTTGATGTAGCAGCTGTACATAGAAATGGTCAATTGCAAAATGTTGCAACCACCATGGTTTCTTATGGTTATTTTGGTGACTTATTAAAAACATCAGAGCAGTGGCGGAAGCTTGGACCCACTCGTTACTTGGTATCTGGCGTCTTACAATTTTTACGGAATCGTTCTTATGAGGGTCATTTGAAGATGTTGACCCCTGAGAACCCATTAGCTCAGCCCTACGATACTAATACATGTGGCCACGAGTGTGGAGTGTGTGATAAAGCTGCCATGTCTCCACCTACACCTGGAGACTGGTTACAGGTAAGTTGATGTAATTATGTACATTAAAATGAAGAAAATATTTTTAGAAAATTCCAAATTCTGTGCTATCAGAATTAATGTGGACCATTTGAATGCGAGGTTAAAAAAAAAAAAAGTGTACCATTATTTTATCTTCCCTAGTGCCTTCCCTTCCCTAATCTTCCCAGCTTTGAATGGGGGCTGTTAGTGTGCAGAAATATTCCACTAGAGAGCACTAGTGTTTTAAAATGTATCATCATTGGTGTGGCATCTCTTGTTTGAAAGGTTTTTATTATTCAACCTGTTATTTTTCTTTCAATTGTGATGGATACTTTATTGTAATCTTTAAAAGTAATGGTCTTGTTACATGATTATTCCCAAATCTTTTTACATTGCATTTTCTTTCAGTAGTGTGGGTTGATTGCTTTTTATGTAGTTTTTGACATTTTAGTTTTTTTCCGGAGTGCAGTAACTTGAATTTATTTTTAATACATATTATTTTCTATGGCCCATTGAAACACTTGATTTATGTCAGATTGGAAGTTTTTTTTTTCTTTTGTTAGCACATTTGGGTCATGGCCAAAAGGTCCCGGTTTTTATATCAACGACAGGACAGGAACATATGGGCAACATTTACTTTAATCTGATGCCTCTGTTCATCTAGCAGTAAATAGGTACAGTACCTGGAAGCTAAGCAATTGTTGTGGGCTACATTGTACAATAACTTTCTCTTTACCACCACCATGTGTAATAGCATGCCAATTAGCCTTGACCAGACAATTACCATGATGCCTTGCTTGATATTTTTGTAACATTCTGGAGCTATTAGTTCAAATAAGATATCCAGTTATTTTAATTCTGCTCTCTCAATCATGCACAAAACCACTTATCAAAGTTCTATGCACATGACTAGTGTGGACTCTTGATGGCTGAAGGTGATGTGTAGGCAGGTGCAGCAGGGGTGTTACCCTCAGGCATACAGTTGCGGATGTACTGGCTGCATGTGGCATCTACAGCTAAGGTCCCTGACAACTCGCACTGCTCAACTAACACGCATGGTGATAGACTTTTTTCCTGGGGAAAGTGAGGTCATTCCACTCCCCCACTCCCCAAGGGATTCCTCAAGGTGAGGAGGCAAGGGTGGTGTACCAAAATCCGTACACACACTCTGTTTACCACTCTATAGCTAAAAGTGCGTTCTCTCTGGCTAGCAGAGTACTGTCACTATTTTCCGCTTGTTACAACTTGTAATAAAGTTGTTACATCTTGGCTTAACATGTTTATGACGTATTAGAACGTTGTTACAACTTGCTATATCGGTTGTTATAACTGGTTAGGTGTTAAAACTTGTTCGAACGTTGTACCAACATCGTAGTTTCGGTGTGTGTTTGGTGGGATACATCAGATACCAACATAGTTGGTGTCTGACCAGTAATGGAGAAAACTTGGCCAATTATGCTCTTGTGCATGAATTGTCTACTCCATCTAGGAGTTGGGTAAAGCTGGAAAAAGCACATGCTCGTGCATCTTTGGGATAGGCAGTAGTTGGCCAAGGGAAACATCGATAAGCTCAACAAGCTTACTGTCCCTGACTATAGGAAACCATGTTGTAGTACTATGTGGGTTTATTGCAGTACTGCATTGGTATATTGCAGTATTATGTGGGTATTTTTATTATAATTATCAATAATAATTTTAATTATAGCTTAGTTGCCTGCACCTAGTAATCTTACAATCTTTCTGCAACTCATTTGTGCAGTATGAATTTAGTCTTGTATATAAATAAATAATTTACTCAAGGTACATTGGGTACATTAACAGCTTTAATTATGTATCAAATGAGTTACAGAAGTTAACTAAGCTATGTATACTAATGCTACTGCCAGATTTGTAAACCTAACACTTTGGGCGGTTCCGGAGGAGCACCCTCATACAACAAATCGATAACAACAAATCGGGTTCGGAAGCTAGGGACTGAAGAAGGCACAACCTCTGTTGCCCGCTTAAGTACCGCTGTTCACTGTGCGCGCAGCCGAGCGCAACTCAACGTTCGGCTGTTTTCTTCCAACACAGAAACTTATCCGCTCGTTCCAAGCAGGAACATTACTGTAAAAGCTCGATAATTCTGATTTCCATTAATCTGGATCTCCTAGTAAACCAAATGACTCCACATTTGAGTATTGACCTTTTAACCCAAATAGGAATTTAGATTATCCCTCAAACTGCTAGGGGCCCAAATGGAATTCACACCCACAGGCACAAAAAAAAAAAATCCAAAAAATTCTTTCGTCTTATAGAAGTGTTCATTTTTGTTTCTTGATCACGGAAAAAATAACAAAAAAATTGTAGGTGGCATATTTTAGCCGCAATAGGGTAGGGAAGTGTGGCAAAAAAGGGGCATTGGCAGAGCCTTCGCCAGACAAGGTCTACTCCGCCCGAGCTGTCAGACGGCAGTTGCCACAAATATATTATTACCTAATTATTTTAATGTCTCGGATTGATTTTTTCTTAGTTTTTTTGCAGTAATATTATTCCATACAGTGAATTGTGGTATATTTATATTATAAAATGTGTGAACCATCGCTGTACTCAAAATTATGGTGTGCATATTAGTGATTCAATTATGTTCATAAAACAATAAACAAATAGCTTTGCTGTTGTTACACTATATACACAGGTTATATATAAGTATTTGCATGTTTTGTACACCATAATGCACTACTAAGTTGGTCTTGTGAGTCAAAAAGCAACGAGGAGTGACCGCCAAACACCAGCGAGCCACTCACTGCCACTCCCTCCCTCAACACCACCTCACTCACCCTCATTCACCTCCCACAATACTCTTTCTATATTTATTCACTATACACAGACGTTATATATACGTATTTACATGTTTTGTTCACCATAACTGTACATCTAAGCTTGTATGGTGAGTAAAGGCCATAAGATGTAGCTACTCACACAGTCAGCTGATCGGCGGCCGCCCTCAAGGCCAGACGCACTAATATTTGTCCTTCAACAATATTGTTTTGGTGTTATTACGCTATATACACACATTATATATAAGTATCTACCTGTTTTATTCACCATACCTGAACAAATAAGCTGGTATGGTGCCCAAAGACCATAGTGGCCATCAGTAAACAACATGCCAAGTCGTGCAGACGATGCTCCTCCCTCACCAAAATGGCGGCTCCCAACCTACTCCTCTCGCTGTTATCTCACACTATACACACGTTATATATAAGTATCTACATTTGTGTTCACCATATCGAACCACTAAGCTGGTATGGTGAGTGCAGTCAATAAATGGTGGCCACACAGTCAGAAAACGACGCCACAACCCTCCCTCCCACAGTTTTACTCCTTCCTCCATGGAGCACAGCGCTAAATATCACCACAATCCTGCTATTATCAGAATTCTGGTCAGTTTTATCACAGTCAGGGGGCTTCAGTAATACTATCACTGCTAAATAATAGCAGTATCATTTATATTATGGTATTTGTAGGCGATGCTGTGGTCACAAGCTGAACAGCGGTGCTGTGAGCTCGTACTGCGTGCGCCAGCCTTGGTGGCTTGCTCAATACTGAGCTGTAACACCCAAGAATTTTGGCCTGGATTTTTTTCTAGGTGGCATCTGGCAACTATCGGTCGTGGCTGTACTATAGCTGCCCCTATCCCAGGCGGGGCGTTTAAATTATAGCGCTAGACACGAAATCATATATAAATGATGTGCGCGGTTTCGGTTTTGTCACTGATATCATTTATATATGATATGTGCGGTTTGAGGGTTATTGTAATGAGATTTCTGCTGAATGAAAACCCAAATAAATTTGAGTGTTTTTGGGCATTCCTGGTAAAAATATATGGATAACTCAAATGGGGGGGGGGGGTGAGCCCTATATAATTCCGGATACCGAGCATAGATAATGGTCGGTATGTGATGATGCTCAGGGCAAATGTTCAAAAGATGCTGGGTTGTGATCATAACATGGGAAACCACACCACCTCTTCCCTGTATTATATAGAAGTGCATACAGGTATACTGTGTTATATTTTGATGTCATGCCAATTCTATTTTGGTACAGTAACTAATTTCAGTTCCGTCAGTATGAAACCTTTCCTCATGTCTGTGCTTCAGTACTTTAAAACACTAAATAGTAGTTTATTGGATAATTAAATTATTGATACTCTGTATTGTACTAGCCTAATTTTTCCCCAGTTCAATGGCCGATGGAGTGTTGTGACCTCGGCAGTAACTTCATGTGCCTGCCGTCTTTCACCTTACGGTGTATCACCTGCAGCCCATCTTGGGGATGGCTGTATGGACCTTATATTAGTGACTGGTGGATCAAGATGTCGTATCCTAAGCTACCTGTTCCGAACTGCCTATACTGGAAATGCTGTGAGTACAGTAATGTGTTTTGGAAGCAACAAGACTAAATGAGCTCGAGATTGACAAATATTTGATAAGGCATTATGAAGATAGATTGTAATAGGTTTGGGGAAGTATGGTTGGACATAGCTTGAATGACTTGTATAGGGGACCAAGCTGATTTACCTCGTGTGATTTTCTTTAATCTGATGTAACAACCCCTACCAACTCCAAACAATGCATTCTTTCTCTCCTTCCTACATTATTCTGGATAAACCTACAATCATTGTAATACCTATATTATTATTTTTTTTTTAGTATGTGCCAGTATGAGTGCACACAACCACATCTTGAAGCAAAACAAACACACATACACACACACATCAGAATGTTGTTAGAACATCATTCAGAAACCTAAGTAAGGAGGCATTTATGGTCTCACTGCCTACGTGAGGCCAGTCTTAGAGTATGCCGCCTCATCATGGAGTCCCCATCTGAAGAAGCATATAATGAAACTGGAAAAGGTTCAGAGGTTTGCAACGAGACTCGTCCCAGAGCTACGAGGGATGGGGTATGAGGAGCGCCTGAGGGAACTGTGCCTTACAACACTAGAAAGAAGAAGGGAGAGGGGGGACATGATAGGAACATATAAAATACTCAGAGGGATTGACAGAGTGGACATAGACGAAATGTTCACACGGAATAGTAACAGAACGAGGGGACATGGATGGAAGCTTGAAACTCAGATGAGTCACAGAGATGTTAGGAAGTTTTCTTTTAGCGTGAGAGTAGTGGAAAAATGGAATGCACTTCAGGAACAGGTTGTGGAAGCAAATACTATTCATAATTTTAAAACCAGGTATGATAGGGAAATGGGACAGGAGTCATTGTTGTAAACAACCGATGCTCGAAAGGCGGGATCCAAGAGTCAATGCTCGATCCTGCAGACACAACTAGGTGAGTACACACACGCACGCGCGCACACACACACACGCATGCGCACACCCCTAAAGGTGATGAAGGTGACACCCCTAGGGTCAACACTTGCAGCAGAGGAGCTCCAGCATATTTCAACAATCCTAAGTATTGTAGTATAGGTTGATGGTAGTGAGTGGTGTCCCAGAGAACATAAAGGTATAGTGCTCTTGAAAAATAGGTGAGATAACAGGAAAGTGCTAAGGGAAGTGAAAAATCGGATGAGAAAAAGTTGCCCTAGTGTTTACAGTGCAGAGAAGAACATTCAAGATGGCCACTGGCAAGGGGAAAACAAAACAGAGCTTGATTTTGAGGGATTCAATGAAGAAAGCATTGATATTAACAGTCTACATAACAAGTTGGTAAATTTAGATACTATAGTGAACTCTCATGTAGAAATAATTAGTAAATTGAAAGAAAGTAATGACCATTTGAATAGCAAAGTTTTATGTCTTGAGGGTTTAGTGAAAGACTTGCGCAAGGATAAGAATCAATTGGAAACAAATTGCAAAGCCATGGAAGAAGAAAATACTCTTAAAAATAGCTTTGGAAGAAGTTAAAGTAAATTTAAACATAAATGACTACAATAGGTTAGGCAAGGAAATTCAACAGGAGAAACAGCTTTTGTCAGCACAGATGGAGGAAGTTACACAGGGAATAGAACAGTGCAAGAAAGATATGCAACTCACTTATGCACAAGTGGCCAAGGAGAAGGAAAAAATAGAAGAAGCAGTAAAGGAAGTCAAACACTGCAGCAACCAAGATAAAACAAACATTAGGCTGGAAGTGAGAAAAGAATTGGCATCTAACCCGAAGTTGGTGCAAAACACAGTTGATCGGAGTAAGTCCCTGATCATTTTTGGCTGCAAAGAAAAGGCGATAACATCTAGGTCAGAAAGAGCTGTAGAAGAAGCTAAAGTAGTAGATAAAATTGTTGGCCTCGTGGAAGGTCTTACAACCATAGAGAATGTGTGCGACTACAGGAGAATAGGCAGGTACGTAAAAGGGAAAGATCGACCTTTGAGGATCACCCTAAACGGTGCCAAACAGATGGAAGAAGTACTAAGGAATGCTAGAAAATTGCAAAGTGATGAGGATGGGAAAGGGTGGTCGTTAAGACGAGATCTTTCAAAAGAAGATAGAGAGAAGCTGAAACTGAACCTCGCCGAGGCAAAACATTTAAATGGGAGCAGGAATGAAGAAGAAATAAATTCTTTTTTTCTACAAAGTGATAGGGGTAGGCAAACCAGTAAAGTGGTACATAAAGGCAAACCAACAAAATCAATAGAGAGAGGGGGAGTGAAGAATAAGGAGAGGGGGAACAAGTTCCTGAAGATTGCATACACCAACATAGATGGAGTGAGATCGAAGATACTGGAGTTAAGTGATGTAATACAGCTGCAGACACCAGACATTGTTGCACTCACGGAGACAAAACTTGAAGATGTAATTTTAAATGAGGTCATATTCCCAAGGGGCTACTCAATTTGGAGACGGGACATAAAAATTAGGAAAGGCGGTGGCGTTGCTGTGCTGGTAAAAGAACACCTAGAGGTGAACGAAATAATGACTGCCAATCCACAAGAAGTTGACACAATAGCACTAGAGATCTGCCATGAGGATGATAAACTAATGATAATAAATGCATATAGTCCACCGCCAAGCAGCACATGGTCAAAGGAGGAGCTAGATAGTAAACGTGAAGGTCTTATAACAATAATGAGAGAGATTATAGCGAGAGCGGATAACGATAGATCACGACTGTTGATAGTCGGTGACTTCAACTTGAAATCCATAGACTGGGAAGCATATGAAGCTAAAACAGAAGATTTTTGGACCTGTAAATTTGTAGACCTCATCCTGGAAACATTCTTGTATCAACATGTTAAACAAGCTATGAGGATGAGGGAAGGGGACGTTCCCTCCATGCTAGATTTGATATTTACCAGGAAGGAGGAAGAGATATTTGACATTCAGTACCTTCCTCCCTTGGGTAAAAGTGACCATGTCTTTTTGGGAATAAAGTATGCAATGCGTTATAAGCTGGAAGAAAATAAGGAGGTTGAACCAGTTGAAAAACCAGACTTCAGGAGGACATTATGGTGACCTTAGAAATTTTTTTAGTGAGTATAATTGGACAGACTTGATGCTAGGCAAGGAAGTGAATGAGATGTATGTCAAGTTTTGTGAAATATATGATAAAGGCACAACAAAATTTATACCAAAACAGAGATGCAGAACTAGGAAACAGGATTGGTTCAATAGAAATTGCGAGAGGACTAGAGACCAAAAGACACAAAAATGGAATCAATACAGAAAGAGGCCGAACCCCCAAACATACCAGCGATACAAAGATGCAAGAAACAACTACACGGCAGTGAAGAGAGAGGCAGAAAGAAATTTTGAAAAAGGGATTGCAGACAAATGTAAAACAGAACCAGGTCTATTCTATAAATTCATAAACAACAAATTGCAGGTAAAGGATAATATTCAGAGGTTGAAAATGTGAAATAGATTCACGGAAGATGAAAAGGAAATGTGTGAAACACTAAACGAAAAGTTCCAAAGTGTGTTTGTACAAAATGAAATCTTTAGGGAACCAGATACAATAAGAATTCCAGAGAACAACATAGAGCAACAACATAGAGCACATAGAGGTGACTAGAGACGAGGTGGAAAAAATGCTCAAGGAGCTCGGTAAGAACAAAGCAGCTGGCCCAGATGGTGTTTCACCATGGATTCTGAGAGAATGTGCATCTGAGCTCAGCATTCCACTTCACCTGATCTTTCAGGCATCCCTGTGTACAGGAATCGTAGCAGACGTGTGGAAACAGGCTAACATAGTTCCAATCTACAAAAGTGGCAGCAGGGAAGACCCCCTCAATTATACACCTGTATCATTGACAAGTGTAATAGTGAAAGTATTGGAAAAACTAATCAAAACTAAATGGGTAGAACACCTAGAGAGAAATGATATATTATCAGACAGACAGTATGGTTTTCAATCTGGAAGATCCTGTGTATCAAATTTACTCGGTTTCTATGATCGAGCCACAGAGATATTACAGGAAAGAGATGGTTGGGTTTGACTGCATCTATCTGGACCTAAAAAAGGCTTTCGACAGAGTTCCACATAAGAGGTTGTTCTGGAAACTGGAAAATATTGGAGGGGTGACAGGTAAGCTTCTATCATGGATGAAAAATTTTCTGACTGATAGATATTAACACTTTCGCGCTCTCGGCGCTCAAAAAAAAAACAATACCCCAGATGCTTTCGGCACTTCGCGCGCCTACGCGGTAAGACCGAAAAGTGTACACTCTTTTGACTGTCCTGACAATAATTGAAGGCGCACGTATTTAAATTTGGTATCACTGTGTTCGCAATGAAATTGTCTATAAGAGCATACCTATAAAATGCCGCCCAAGCATAAGGAGTATCAACACCAAATAAAAAACTATGCAGATCACTCGCCGAGAGCGCCAAACAGCAACAAAATGTTTCCACTCTCTTAATGGTTGCGAAGCCTACAGTTGTCCTACATCGCTAATTTTGGTATCATTGGAATCGCAATAAAATTCTCTACACGGACATATGCATATGAATGTTTAATATAGGTAATTGCCCACCCGCAAGAGTGTGTGAAGTGGAGAGTAGTTAGCCGCGAGCGCACTGGCGAAAACACAGGGGGGAAATCATGCTTGGAAAGTTTATACGTTTCCTGACCCTACTTTTCTATGTACGTATTTCTTTTTTATACCAATGTGTTCGCAATAAAATTTTCTATAAGATGAACTGTATAACATTTGTACAAAGCATGTGTAAGAGAAGCGCCAAATATAGAACCACGTCGCTCAGTATGCGTTCGCGGCAGAAACGAACGCATTGTTTTCGTTCGTTTGATGTTTGTCATGTTTATACTTGTTGAAACATTTTATAATTTGTATGACAGTGATCGCAGTAAAATTCCCTACACAGACATATACATAACACATACAAATATTTCCCACGTGTTGGATATATCAACGGCTAAAGGGAACCCACTGCCACACGCTCGCCACACCCCCAAACATACTTTGTGTATTTTTTTTTTACTCATAGAAGTTTATGTGATATAATATTCATTCTGGTACCAAAACATTCGCAAATAAATTCTCTACAAAACAAAAGTATCCCCATCCATTTCGGTTAAAAAATGGAATTTATAGAAATATTTTTTCGATGGACGAGAAAAGTAGGCTGTTATGCGGAATCGTAAGAGAAAACGGCGACGAGTTATCTCTAATCTAAAGCGCGAAAGTGTTAAAAACATAACTGAAGGGTAAGAGCTACGAGGAGAGGTTAGAAGCATTAAACATGCCAAAACTAGAAGACAGAAGAAAAAGAGGTGATATGATCATTACATACAAAATAGTAACAGGAATTGATAAAATCGACAGGGAAGATTTCCTGAGACCTGGCACTTCAAGAACAAGAGGTCATAGATTTAAACTAGCTAAACACAGATGCCGAAGAAATATAAGAAAATTCACCTTCGCAAATAGAGTGGTAGACGGTTGGAACAAGTTAAGTGAGAAGGTGGTGGAGGCCAAGACCGTCAGTAGTTTCAAAGCGTTATATGACAAAGAGTGCTGGGAAGACGGGACACCACGAGCGTAGCTCTCATCCTGTAACTACACTTAGGTAATTACACTTAGGTAATTACACTTAGGTAATTACACACACACACACACACCCCACCCCCCACCCCCCCAACACCAACCAACCAACCAACCAACCATCCATCCATCCCAGGCAGGGCCTGGTTGATACCTGGTTGTTGGGGTTCTGGGAGTTCTACTCCCCAAGCCCGGCCCGAGGCCAGGCTTGACTTGTGAGAGTTTGGTCCACCAGGCTGTTGCTTGGAGCGGCCCGCAGGCCCACATACCCACCACAGCCCGGTTGGTCCGGCACTCCTTGGAGGAATAAATCTAGTTTCCTCTTGAAAATGTCCACGCTTGTTCCGGCAATATTTCTTATGCTTGCTGGGAGGACATTGAACAACCGCGGACCTCTGATGTTTATAGTTTTCTCTGATTGTGCCTATGGCACCTCTGCTCTTCACTGGTTCTATTCTACATTTTCTTCCATATCGTTCACTCCAGTACGTTGTTATTTTTCTGTGTAGATTTGGTACTTGGCCCTCCAGTATCTTCCAGGTGTATATTATTTGATATCTCTCTCGTCTTCTTTCTAGTGAGTACATTTGGAGGGCTTTGAGACGATCCCAATAATTTAGGTGCTTTATTGCGTCTATGCGTGCCGTATATGTTCTCTGTATTCCCTCAATTTCAGCAATCTCTCCTGCTCTGAAGGGGGAAGTGAGTACTGAGCAGTACTCAAGACGGGACAACACAAGTGCCTTGAAGAGTACAACCATTGTGATGGGATCCCTGGATTTGAAAGTTCTTGTAATCCAGGCGAGACGTATGGGCAAGTCTCCTTACACCCATTGCCTCTGTTCACCTAGCAGTGATTAGGAACCTCGGTGTTAGTCGGCTGTTGTGGGTCGCATCCTGGGGAATGGTCAAATGCTGCACATATCCGAGGTATACTCAATTTCCCACAAACGCCGCAAGGCACAGCATGATAATAGGCGAGTACTGTACACACACAGATATTAGAAAGAACTTTTTTAGTGTCAGAGTGGTTGACAAATGGAATGCATTAGGAAGTAATGTGGTGGTGGCTGACTCCATACACAGTTTCAAGTGTAGATATGATAGAGCCCAATAGGCTCAGGAACCTGTACACCTGTTGATTGACAGTTGAGAGGCGGGACCAAAGAGCCAGAGCTCAACCCCCGCAACCACAACTAGGTGAGTACACACACACACTCACACACTCACTCACTCACTCACTCTCACACACTCACTCTCTCACTCACTCTCACACACTCTCACACACTCTCACACTTAATAAATGCCATGTTATGGAATGTAGAATAGGAGAACAAAGACCCCACACAACCTATATATTATGTGAGAAATCTTTAAAGAAATCTGATAAAGAAAGAGATCTAGGGGTGGTTCTAGATAGAAAACTATCACCCGAGGACCACATAAAGAACGTTGTGTGAGGAGCCTATGCCACGCTTTCTAACTTCAGAATTGCTTTTAAATACATGGATGGCAATATACTAAAGAAATTGTGAACAACTTTTGTTAGGCCAAAGCTAGAATATGCAGCGGTTGTGTGGTGCCCATATCTTAAGAAGCACATCAACAAACTGGAAAAGGTGCAAAGACATGCTACTAAGTGGCTCCCAGAACTGAAGGGCAAGAGTTACGAGGAGAGGTTAGAGGCATTAAATATGCCAAAACTGGAAGACAGAAGAAAAAGAGGTGATATGATCACTACATACAAAATAGTAACAGGAATTGATAAAATTGATAGGGAAGATTTCCTGAGACCTGGAACTTCAAGAACAAGAGGTCATAGATTTAAACTAGCTAAACACAGATGCCGAAGAAATATAAGAAAATTCACTTTCGCAAACAGAGTGGTAGACGGTTGGAACAAGTTAGGTGAGAAGGTGGTGGAGGTCAAGACCGTCAGTAGTTTCAAAGCGTTATATGACAGAGTGTTGGGAAGACGGGACAACACGAGCGTAGCTCTCATCCTGTAACTACACTTAAGTAATTACACACACTCTTACACTCTCTCTCTCTGTCTCTGACTGGAACATGCTGGAGGAGTACCACAGGGTTAAGTTCTTGCACCAGTAATGTTCAACGTCTACATAAATGATCTACCAGAAGGAATACAAAATTATTTGAACATGTTTGCGGATGATGCCAAGATACTGGGGAAGATAGGAGGCGCAGACAATTGTAATGCCCTTCAAATCAACCTAGACAAAATAAGTGCTTGGAGCATCAAGTGACAAATGGAATTCAATATGAATAAATGCCATGTTATGGAATGTGGAATCGAAGAAAATAGACCCCATCCAATATACAAATTATGTAGAAAGGAATTACAGAACTCTAATAGAGACCTAGGGATGGTTTTGGATAGTAAGATGTCGTCAGAGGAACACAAAGAACATTGTGAGAGGAGCATATGCGTCGCTTTCCAAATTAAGACTTGCTTTTAACTATATGGATGGTGAAATACTACAGAAATTGTTCATGACTTGAGACCAAAATTGGAATATGCAGCAGTTGTATGGTGCCCAAATCTCAAGAAGCATATAAATAAATTGGAAAATACAGTACTAACAGGAATTGACCAAATTGACAAAGGAATTCCTGAAACCAGCAACTTCATGAACGAGAGGACACAGATTCAAGCTAAGGAAACAAAGGTGCCAAAAAAATATTAGAAAGTTTTCTTTTGCATACAGTGTAGATGGTTGGAACAAGTTAAGTGAGGTGGTGGAGACCAAAACCGTCAGTAGTTTCAAAGCGTTATATACAGACTACTGGAAAGACGGGACACCACAAACATAGCTCTCATCCTGTAACTACACTTAGGTACAGTAATTAAAAAAAAAATCTGATCTGGTATCCAAACTGCTGTGCATAATTAATGGCATTATACGACATATAATTACTGTACTCGCTAACAATTCAATGTTTCTTTTGGTAGATCATGTATTTTCTTCTTGTATCTTCTGTATTTCATCATGTAAATGATGAACATTACTGGTGCAAGAACTGAACCCTGTGGTACCCATTGTAAGATGTTCCTATGTATATTTCATGAATGAAATATTATTATATTACTATATTTGTCAAATTTGCACTTGACCAGGAGTATATAGAGGAAGATGCCTCCACCATTGAAAACACAATTAGGCAAGTACTATCTCCATCCTGTTGATTCGTGGGATGCAGCGCGAATTAAATAATTAACAAAATGCTTGATTATATAATTTTTTTTTTGTACAGTAATATGACAGTATTCAACTAATATTTTAACAGAAAAATATTTTTGGGCAGGAAAGGTAGGGCATAACCTAGTAAGGTGGACATAGACCTAGTGAACATAAGAAGTGGGTAGTGACGTATCAGAGGGATAGGTGGATTCCATTAATACTTGGAACATTCAGTTGCTGCTCTGATGTATGCTAGCCTCTGAAATATAGCTGAGTCTACTGCAGGCCTGCCACTAAGGGGAAGGGGGGTTTGAGAGGTTTGGTTGAACCTTCCCTTTCTGCTGACAGGTATCTGGCTGCAGAGCCAGCAGTGTGTGCATGTTTTCTCAGATGCATCTGCAACACTTGGAAATTAAAAATGAATACCTCTTGATTGTTGTTACATAGCAAAATGTTACCTACACTCTCTCAAAATGCATCTAGATGATCCCAGAATGCAGGAGAATTGCACATGTCAAACCAAATTATCTGGAGTTCAACCATGCAGATTCTCTTAATTATCATCACATACCAACTTGGGTCAAACCCCCCCTCCTCCCCATTTCAAAATACCTGTTCTGGTGATGGGGCTATTTGTGGGGGTCATATCATGAAATGTTCTCAAATAATTATGATTTCTCATCAGGCAAACTTGGATCATGTGAACATTCACCGTGTTCAGGAGGTTCACTTTACACCAAAAGCAACGGGACCCAAGTCTTCCTGGAACTGTGACGGTGAACACTTGCCTGAGCCTTCCGTGAGACTGAAGTAAGTAACATTTCAGTCTCTTCATAAGCAGTTATTCAGTACATTGCTCTAAATGCAAATTATTTTAGATACAATATTACTTTAACCATATTTATACTAGTCAGTCTGAAAGTATTACAGTAGTCATATTTTAAAATGGTTGTAAGTGTTAATGAGGCCTCAAACTTGAGACAATTGAGGCCTTACCCTAGACCTACTATTTTCTTAATGATTTTTCTCTTCTGCTGCTCTGTTCACCCTATATATTTACTTTTCTAAACACCCAAAAATTATTATGTTCTTGTTTGTATCTGCAGTGTTCTGTACTAATTTACTGTTGGTAACCAGTTCTTTCCTAATTGGTTGTCTAATTTCTGTTTGGTCATTTCTGGTTTTGACTTCCAAATACACTTCCTTGGTCGTCTCTCTCTCTTTTACAACTTGCGCATATGTATCTTTAATTATATATTCTTTAATTAATTTAATAAAAGAATTAAATGTATATATTAAGTGTGTATACTGTACTGCATAAATGGAAGTAGATACTGTAATAAAGTACATATAAAGAAGCAACATTTGTTCATGCAATAATATTTTTTTTATTACTACAGAGTGCATTGTCAGCGTCTACAGTTATTCAGCCGTGGTGTTGAGGCCAGGACTGAAGATTTCTCAAAACCTGTGGGAAATGCTAAGAGTGCTTCCTTATAAATGAAATTAGGGAGATATAACTTCACTAATCAACAACTGTGTGCATAGGATTACATTTGTAATTAGAGTATTTTATTATGCTTGTTAAAAAAAATTTTATAGTAACTGTGGAAGGCAAATCTTCAACCTATATAAAAGTTTACATACAGGTTTTAGAAGTGTGAACTAGTAGCGTTTTCACTGATAATTTTACATTCTTAATTGTCTAGTGCAGTTTGATGATGCTCATTTCCCTTTAATATTTAATTGAAATATATAGGTATATATATATCCGCTAATGAATTGTGGTGACTACTACTATTACTAACATTCCAGTAGTCATAATATAGGGACTATGATTCCAATTACACAGGATTTCAAAGTTTGTTTTACTATGGCATAGCAGTTAGCAAAATTTTTAACATTAGTATTCCTGTGCTAATGCTCAGAGGCTTGTGAATATTTTCAAGACTAGTATGCCAGACATATTTTTTTATAAATTATCTTGTATTTTTAATAATTATATCTGAAGTAGGTATGACTTTTAACAAATATTTGTTTTATGAATGATGGGTATTGCATATTTTAAACATTGTGATGTGGGATTAGAATTTTAGTTACAGTATTTTCGAATAAAGTACTGGAGTAAGGTACTGTATTATACGATGTGATTTGTGATGTATGATCTGATGATTTGTTATACAGTGGTACCTTTGTTTTCATAGTTAATCCGTTCATAGAGACAGTATGAAACCGAAACTAATTTTCCCGTAAGAAATGATGTATTTTTTAGTTAACACTTTCGCCCGGGCATGACGCAGCATTGCGTCATCCGTTTACTGTCGGTAATACCGGGGATGACGCAGCATTGCGTCATCCACTTTAAATAATCGCCAAAAATCAGGTTTTTATCCGATTTTTTGGGGACTGGTTTTAAAATGCGCGCCGATGTCTTACCATTTTCTTTGTTGAGCCTCGTGGCCCTCAGGCGGCTTGGCACACGCCGTGGACCCATTGTTTTCACTCCACTGTTGTAACCAATGTTGCCTCCCCTCACATCTCAAATGTGTGTACATTTCGGCTATTTTCCGTGGCTATATTTCTTACTGCGGCTTTAGAAACTATCTACGCTTACTCCACGATGGATAGTGATCATGAACAAGGCCCTTCCAGGAAGAAAATTGCAAAAGAAAGGCTTGAAAAGGGCGGAAATTGGCAGTGTAGCTGGAAGGCGTCTGAGCGCTCACTTGTGGCTAACGCATGGCCCGTCTTCAACTTGTCGGCGGTTGGAGCGTGACCAGGTTTTTTATTTTATATGCTAATGTTCCTCTAGAGAATTCAATTGCGAACCCATTGAGACCAAAATGAAAGACCTAGGACGAAAATTGAGGTGACCAGAGTGAAAATAGTGAAAACATTTTATCGCGTTTGCGCGCTCCTGGGTAACTCGTTCGCACTTTCTCTGTATGCTGCGGGTAATTAGCCGGGCTTTTGGAGTTTATATGCATTTAGTGCTGTAGAGAATTCTATTGCGAACACAATGATACAAAATTTAATCTCGTAGGACGAGAATTAAGGTGACAAAGTTGAAGAGAGTATACACTTTTCAGAATTTACGCGCGCTCCCGTGACACCCTGGGTCCCATATCGCACAGTTGAGGGGTGGCGCGCGGGGTACGCCAAAGTGTTAACCCGTTCTACACACCCCAAAAATATTAACTAAAAATACATTTTGTACAGAATAATACTCTTATGTACCTTACCTTTATGGAGGACTCTTGTTGGCAAATAGAAGACAGTGAGGAGGGAAGGGGGGGGGGGAGGTGGTGGTGTGTTAGTGTTTAGAAGGAGAGTCCCCTTCCATTATAACAGCAGTAATGACATTTGTGAGGTACTCTTATGTTTTGCAGGCATACCACTAGGACCAGGTTGTGGCTCACTGCTTGCATGTCTTACTAAGAATCTTGTCTATAGACACTTGTTTTTTCCCTATATTTTAACACTTGTCTTTAGTAAGACATCACATTCTCACTATGAATGATCTCTTGTTTTTCCTCTTATCATCCTCAACTATTTTCTTAAGTTGAACATTACCACTGACTTTCTTGGACCCCATGGCATGATATTCTGTATAATAATAACTTTTATGTTCAGAAACCAAAACAGCACAAAAGCAATGAAATTCTTCACAAAGAATCCTAGCGCGATCATCGCTAGGCAGGAGACGCTGGTAAACTGAAGCGCCACGCTCGAGGTGGACCCGTACTTGTATAAACAAACTACCACTACCGAATCGAATCATAGAAATTTACGAGAACAGGGACATATGAGAACCAAGGTTCCATTGTATAATGATTTGTGATGTAAATTTATATATTGAATTGTTTACACTATCTTGGTTAATTGTATAATTTGGAGTAATTAAAAGATTATAATGGTGTACAAATATTTTGAAATGAAAGTGGTGGTGTAACTAAAGTGTACAGTAGTTACAGGACGAGAGCCATTTTCATGGTGTTCCGTCTTCCCTATAATTTGTCGCATGACGTTTCGAAGCTTCCAATATTTTTGGCTTCCACCACCCGCTTATTTGAATTATTCCATCTGTCCACAACTCTGTTCGCAAACGAGAACTTTCGAAATTTATTGGCACCTTTGTTTTCTTTGGATCTACGGCCTCTTGTTCTTGAAGTTTCAGGTTTCAAAAATTTCTCCTTGTTGACCATGTTGATTACTGGATGATTTTGTATGGTGATTATATTGCCTTATTTCCTTCTATCAGTTTTGTTTTGAAGTATAACTAGTTTTGGCATATTTGATGCCTCCAGCATATTCATAGCTCTTGTTTTTAAGGTCCAGAAGCCATTTAGTAGCATGGTAGATGTGTGTGTGTATGGTGTCATGCATACATAATGCTTTGTGCAGCATTTACAGATACTGTACACCGTTACAGCAGAAAGTGTGTTAAAATTGAATGAATTTGTGAATGAAAGACTAGTGAAGTGTGCAAATGAGTGAGTTAAGATCGTGAATAACAAGAAGTAGAACAAAAAATGATGTGGGGGCAAAGAAAAGTTGACATTAATTTGTGTAGTGTTCTTGGAGTGGACATTACACTTTGCATCCAAATTAAGTGAAAAGTGTGGGTAGAGCTTTTATGAAACAAAAAAAATCCTACAGAATTTTGCATCTCATGATATATTTTACCAGAAGGTATTTTAAAACTTTTAGATCTGTGTAGCCATTCTGGTTAATTTCTTCAAATGACAAACAGTTGATCCATTTTTCACCTGATGCCTCTGTTCACCTAGGAGTAAATAGGTACCTGGGAGTAAGGCAATTGTTGAGGGTCACATCCTGGGGAAGGTCACTAGTTGACTTAAGATGACCTCAATAACTCTAAGTACAGGCTTCCTGTCTCCAACATTGGGGATTATTATAATGAAATCTAAAATTCTAGCAAGAATGAAGAATTACTTTTTACTCATTCAGAAATTTCAAGATAAACAATTTTAATCTAATTAGATTGCTTTTTACTTGTTTTTAACTAAAATAAGAGGAAATGTACATGTAATTTGTGCTAGTACATGTTCAAAGTACATTTTCAAAATAAGAGGGACTACAGAGAACATACACGGCACGCATAGACGCAATAAAGCACCTAGATTATTGGGATCGTCTCAAAGCTCTCCAAATGTACTCACTAAAAAGGAGATGAGAGAGATACCAACAATATACACATGGAAAATACTGGAGGGCCAGGTCCCAAATCTATACAGTAAAATAACAATGTACTGGGGTGAATGATATGGAAGAAAATGCAGAATAGAGCCAGTGAAGAGCTGGGGTGCCATAGGCACAATCAAAACACTGTATAAACATCAGAGGTCCGTGGTTGTTCAACGTCCTCCCAGCAACTATAAGAAATATTGCCAAAACAACTGTGGACATCTTCAAAAGAAAACTAGATTATTTCCTAAAAAAAAAAAAGGTGCCAGACCAACCCAGGCTGTGATATGTATGCGGGCTGCTCCAAGCAACAGCCTGGTGGACCAAGCTCTCACAAGTCAAGCCTGGCCTTGGCCCAGGCTTGGGGAGTAGAACAACTTCCAGAACAGAAGCAGGTATGTTTAATGTTATATTATGCAGTGGGTGTGGTATAACTGATTTTTTGCAATACAGTTAGAGATGTATATTGGTGTGTTTCATGGCCATGCAAGTACAGAACACGAGAGGGAAGAGGGATATCACTGAAGATGATCGTGTTGTAATGGAGAAATTCCTATATAAAGTTTGTTTTTGTAGCGTCTTTAGTAGAGCACATGGTGGATAAAAGTTTCCATGACAAATTCCTTGTGTAGTGTGTAGTAATTCCTTATAATGTGTTTTGAGGGATCTAGGCTGTGATTATAATTTAATAATTTGCAGGAAATATATCGTGTAGTGGAGGCAGGTAGACTCTGATAGTGTATATCTCTAATCTTTGTTCATTTTGATTAAGGTGGTTTGTTAGATTTCTAAACTGAGAAAATCACTAGGAGCCATGAGGAGGATTCTAACTTATTCTCTGGGTACTTAGACCACTACATGGTCAAAAGCAACGCAACCTGGGATTCGTTTGAATCCTCTAGGGTTCCTGAGACTTGCACTGAAGCCTAGGATTTCACACATTGCTCCAATGCACTCTGGTTTGTAGTCTAGGAACTCTACCTTCTACGCTTCTCTTCAAATACACAAAGAAATCGCATCAACTTGATGTATCAATAAAAAAAAAAATTATACATCAATTTATGTACAGTATCATGATTTTCTCAGACACATCACATTAATGTGATTTCTGTGTGCATCTCCAAGTTGATTTATAAAGAACGTAGATAAGCACAACGATATCTTCTTAACCACTGTGATGCGCTTCGTTCATTGGGACATTTTCCCTGTGCGCCGAAAATCAAGTGTTCGCAATTTGTTTTTTATCTTTGTAAAATGATAAATCCCTGAACCTGAACACACACATAAAAAAAAAAAAAAAATCCACTTACTTTGGCTGTGGAGAAGGGGGCGTGTGACATCATCATTGGCTTGTCGCCCGTGTGTGAAGCTCCCAGACGCGGGCCATTCAAGCACCACGAGTTGCCACAAATATATTTTCAATCATTTGTTCTATGTATTATCAATGTGTTTGTGTTTTTTTTTATCGTATATGAAGCACATTTGTGTCCTTTACCATATTTATACAGTAGAATGTTCATAATGTTGCATGGAACTGCGATAAATGCCAGTAATGTGTCCACAAATGTTTGTTACAATATTACTTGTTCAAAATGCACTAAAATTACAATAAGTACAGTTTCACACACTATACAGTCACGCACTGTATTACACACTCAGTACTTCGGCAGGGAGTGATAATCAACGAAGCAGCCCATGGTACACAGTGCGACTTCGCTCTTGATGCACCAGGTACAAACAAATTTTCGCTTCCCGTTTCTTCGTTCTGTGTGCTTGCAAATAATGCACTCGCGTTCACCCTTTGCTTTAGTACCTGTAGGTGGTATGTAGCCAAGCTTGTGAAGTGTAAGGTAGTCTTGAAAAGATTGCTTTATAAGGTATTCTGGAAGAGATTCGGCCATTCTGGAAGAGAATCATCTATAAAAATTGGAGATATCCAATAGTAGCCGAGTGCCACCCATGTAAAGCTCGCTGTATCACTAGCATCCGACCCTTGTGTTAGGTCCTTATTGTGCCTAGCTTCATCAATATCATGACACTTATGTTCTTCAAACAATAAGGTCTGAATTTCACAGACAGGGTGATCTTTCAACACCGCATCGGACACGTGTTTG